GGAAGCCTGCTTCTCCCTCTCCCACTCCCCCTGCTTGTGTTCCCTCTCTTGCTGTGTCTCTCTCTGTCGAATAAATAAATTTTTTAAAAATCTTAAAAAAAAAAGTTGCAAAAATAGTAGAGAGTCGCCACATACCGTCCCCCCAGGCTCCCCTAATGTTAACATCTAGTATGACCACAGTAAAATTAGCAAAGCCAGGAAATTAACATCATTGCCGTTACTATTAACGAAAACTACAGACCTTACCAGATTTTGCCAATTGTCCCACTAACGTCTCTTTCATTGTCCAGAGATTATCGAATCCAAGATCCCACATTGCATTCATCTGTCATATCTCCTTAATCCTTTCTGACCTGACAGTTCCTTGATCTTGTCTTTGTCTTTTGTGACCTTGACACTTCTGAAGAGTGCTGGACATTTCTTTTGCAGAATGACCCTCCATTTGGATGTGTCTCTTATTAGTTCATGGCTCAGTTCAGGTTTTATACATTGTTGACCAGAATAACCACGGAGGTGATAACTATGTTCTTCTCAGTCCATCACATCAGGGGGTCCAGGCTGTCTATATAAGTTACTGCTGGGGGTGTAAACCTTGATCACTCAGTTAACATGATATGTGCTGGGTTTCTTCACAGTCAAGTTGCTGTTTTTCAGGATAATGTTTGAATGGCTGTACGGCTTTCCATTATAGATCTCCACCATAACCAGACCTTCTTGTTGTACATTTATTTACTTGTGTCTGTTTGTACTGTTACAAAGAATACTGCCGTGACCATTCTTACACATCTCAGCACATATCCCGGATTATTTTGTTAGGATGAATTCCTAAAAATAGAATTGCTGGAGCAAATGCTATTCACATTTTTAAGGCTCTGCGTGCCTGAGGCAGGGATGGTTGCTTCTCTCTGTTTGTTTGTTTGTTTGTTTGTTTGTTTGTTTGAATCAGCTTTATTGAGGTGTAATTTAAATACCAAAAAATGTGCAGATTTGAAGCATATATTTCAATGAGTTTTTTTATTAAAGATTTTATTTATTCATTTGTCAGAGAGATAGAGAGAGAGCACAAGCAGGGGGAATAGCAGGCAGAGGGAGAGGGAGAAGCAAGCTCCCTGCTGAGCAAGGAGCCTGATGCGGGGCTCAATCCCAGGACCCCGGGATCATGACCTGAGCCAAAGGCAGACACTTAACTGACTGAGCCACCCAGGCAGCCCTATTTCAATGAGTTTTGGCAAATATATACACTTGTGTAACTACCATCCCAATCGCATTATAAAATACCTCTATCACTCCCCAAAATTCCTTGATGCCCCTTATAGTCAGTCTTCCTCCTCACCCCAGGCAACTACTGATCTGATTTCTCTCACAACAGGTTAGTGTTAACCTATTCCAGGATTCCACATAAATGAGAATTGTACAATATATATTCTTTTATAATTGTCTCCTTCAATTGGACATAATACGTGTGAGACTCATCCATGTTGTTGTGTATATCAGTCATCTGTTCGTTTTTATTGCTGAGTGGTATTCTATTGTATAAATATACAACAATTTGTTTATCCATTCTTCCACTGATAAGATTTTTGGGCTGTTTCCAGCTTGGAGGTATTATGAATAGAATTGCTATATGATCATTTGCATATAAGCAGATATATTTTCATTTCTCTGGGGTCCATACATAGAAGTGGAGATGCTGGGTCATAAGTAGGTGCATGTTTAAATTTATTAGACATAATGGAGTGGGGTTATTTTCGTCTCATTTTATAGCTCAGGCCACAGAAAGCTGGAGGGACTTGTCCAAGGGCAAAGGGAAGAAGGGAAATAGAATTGGTTGAGTACTGCTCCGTGCCAGGCACAGTGCTAGATGCTCTCTGTGAATCTTCAGAGCAACCTATAAGACAGGAGTTGTGGTTCCCATTCTATATAGATGAGGAAGCTGGGGCCCATGAGCTTGCAGCAATGCAAGCTTCAAACCCAGCCCCATCTGAATCCCAAATGCATCTCCTTTGCCCAGATGTTCCCCTGCCTCCTTGCAGACTGTAGGTGATGGAGCTGGGAAGGAGAACGCATATCCCCCTCCACCTCTGGGCCTGCCCTTACTTGCTTCCTGTTGTCCATCCAGCCCATGCCCCGGAGGCCGGGCCCCCGTGATGCCTGGGTCAGCCCTCGAGACAAGAGCAATCTGTGTGTGGGGCCAGGGATGGTGCCCCCAATGCCACAGCAGGCACCAGGGAGTGACCCACACTCCAACCCTCCAACAGAAGTGTCCAGTTTCTCCCTCCCTGAAATGCGATCCTCAGAGCTTTGCTCCTCGGCGCTGGTGGGCAGTGGGTGAGGGCGGCGGGCAGGGGCCACGTCTCCCCGGCCATATCGCAAACCCATTAGGAGCAGGTCTGAGTGCTTTCCAAAGCTGATTAATGGCCTGCCTGTGACCTGGAATGTCATTACTGCCCAGGCTGGGGGACCCCCGGCTGGGTCCTTTGGGTCCTTTACAGCTAATAATAATTGATGCTCTCTGTGTGGTTGCAGGGAAAGTTCTATCTGGTCATCGAGGAGTTGAGCCAGCTGTTCCGATCGCTTGTCCCCATCCAGCTGTGGTATAAATACATCATGGGAGACGACTCCTCCAACAGCTACTTCCTAGGAGGGGTCCTGATTGTTCTCTACAGCCTCTGTAAGGTGAGGTGGGCCGGGGGCTGGAGGGCTGGCCTGAGGAAGGTCCACTCATTTGCTGGGCCTTGGGGGCAAGTGGGGAGCTTGGAATCTTTTTTTTTTTTAAGGGAGGTAAAATGCACACAACATAAAATGAACCACTAACCATCTCACGGTGTGCAGCTCTGTTGCATTGAGCAGGTACACAGGACTGTACCACCCCCACCATCTAGTTCAAAGACATTTTCATCACCCCAAAAAGAAACCCTGTACCCATTAAGCCGTCCCTCCCATTCCTGCTCACTACCCTCCCCCAGCCACTGGCAACCACCAGTCTGCTCTCTGTCTCTATGGACTTGCCTATTGTGGACATTTCACATAAATGGAATCCTCCACTATGTGGTCTTCTGTGGCCGGCTTCTTTCACTTAGCATCATGTTTCCAAAGTTCATCCACATGGTGGCATATATCAATACTTCATTCCTTTTTGTGGTTAAATCCACCCTAATTTCTTGCCCATAAAGCTCACCAGATGCTCTCCCTTCACATATTTCCATTATTACTCCTGTATTTATGGGCAAGGAGATGGGGGCTCAGAGAGAAGCAACTCGCCCAGCGTCACTGGGCTAAAGACAACAGAGTGGGTGTCAAACCTGGGCAGCCTGCTTCCAGGCCTGGAGCTCTTACCCATAGACGACACTGCCCACCCCCAACACTTGTTTCCATTCCTGGGTGCAAATCGGGGTTTTCCCCCTAACCATAAACACATCCTCCTCTTTCTTCTCCCTTCTCTGTTTCTGGCTCTAGAGAATCCTGGGGGAATGTGTTCTTCCCTTCCCTTTCTCCCAGCAGGACTAGCCAGGCCATCCATGCCCTGTACACCACTGGGGCTTCTCTTGCCTGCTGATTCTGATCGACTGGTAGTACCTGACTGGAGTGCTGGCTGGGCTCAGAAGCAGAGTGCTGTGATCAATTAGCAATGCCTGTGCTGGGCTTGGCAGGGGGAAGAGGCAGGATGTATGTCATGTATTTGCTATCCTGGCCCAGCTAGCAAGGGAGCCTATTGACATAAGGCAGCAAGACAAATGCCAAGCAAAACTGAGGGGAATGAGGGAATGAGGAGCTCTGAATGGGATAGAGTGTCCTGAAAATGTTCGTCGTCAAAGACGAGGGATCGGTGGGGGTTGATCGGGAGTGGTAAGAGAGATCCTAAACAATCCTGGGAGACTTTTCAGCCAATACTCCTCTCTCTTTTCAGTCATTCGACATCTGTGGTCGTGTGGGCGGAGTTAGGAAAGCCCTGAAGCTTCTCTGCACCTCTCAGGTGAGCAGATTTCAAATGGCCCCCACTGAAGGCAAAAGAACCAGGTGCTGGAAAGGTCTCTCACAGCACTCCTGAGGGCATCGCTCCAGTGAGGGTCCACAGCTGGCCTTATCTCTCTCCCCTCCCTCAAACAGAATTACGGCGTCCGGGCCACTGGGCAACAATGCACGGAAGCTGGTGATATCTGTGCCATCTGCCAGGCTGAGTTCCGGGAGCCTCTGATCCTCATGTGCCAGGTGAGCAGAGCTGGGCAGAGCCATCAGGGGATGGAGGCTGGGGGACCTCTGGGGCCGTGTCCTGAGCAGAAGTCCCATGCGCCTCTCCCCTGACCAAACCTCAGAGCTCTGGGGTGGGTCTTTGGGAACAGCATGGTCAAGACTGGAGTCAGATCAGACCTGGGGTTCAGATCTCAGCTCTGCCTCTTCCTAGGTGGGTGGTCCTGGGCAGGTTACTTCACCTCTCTGAGCCCTGGATTTATCAGTCAAGCGTCAAAAATGAAAAATTCAGTATGGTATAGTCAGAATAGTCTGCGTGGGAATCCCAGCAGCACTCTGGACCCTGCAAGGGTGGATCACTCCCTCTCCCTGAGCCTTGGTTTTTCTCGTGTATAAAATGGGCATCATAATACCTACCTCATAGAGCTATGATTATGATTAAATGAGATCATCGATGAAAGCTAAATTGGAATTAGTCACCCATAAAAATGGCTCTTGTTAAAGTTCTTATCATCACTGTAATTACTATTACCATTTGTTTTCGTTATTAATTGTGGGCCACCAACCCATAGCAGTAAGTACTGGTTACTCTCTTTTAGCTCCCTAAATGTACTCCTCCTCCTCCTGACATCAGGGGCTAAGATGTCAGTTCAGCAGATGTAAATGAGGCAAAGCATCCTATCAGATACCGGGGAGGGGAGGCAGAGGGCACACAGACCCTGTTCCCTGCTCGGGCAGCTCACGGTCTCCTTGGGGAGATAGACACATACATAAATAACTATGAAACAAGGCAGGCAGTCATAAGTGCTGTGTAAGAGAGATTCATGCAGGATCCCGGGGGACCTGGACAGAGAGCGATGAGTTCCAGGCTGGGAAGGCTTTTTGCAGGAGGCACAGCCTGAACCCTGGTAAGAATGGGAGCACGGATGCCCCCCTGTTCGGCAACCACCACCCCCTGCTCCCGGGCCTCAGAGGGCAGGAGGTGAGTGAGGTCCTTTTTTGGCATCAGCAAAATTTCTTTCTTTCTTTTTTTTTTTGCTATTTGGGGGAATGCTAGGAAGTTTCTTTTTTTTGCATTTTATTTATTTTTAAATTGAAAATATGCTTGCATGACTCGAAATTCGAACTGAGGATCTCGTGAGTTGGGAGTCATGGGGGGTTTATGCAGCGTTGGACCTGGGTTGGAGCCTGGAACAGAGAAAGGACATGAGTAGGAAAACTGGTTTGAGGTAATCCAGATAGAGTTTGGAGTTCAGTGGTTAGTCATGAATCAATGGGGTTTTGGCTTTGATGTAAAAGTAAGGCGAGTAAAGCAAGCTGATGATATTGGGGAATTGAAACTTAGTGAGGGGCCTAAATGAGGATTCTCTGCGCTATGTTTGCAACCTTTATATAAGTCTAAAATTATTCCAAAATTAAAAGTTTATTTTTTTAAAGATACAAAAAGGAAAACAATGACCAGCCTCCTACCCTCCCCCCAGCTCCCTAGTTTCCTTTATATCTTCAGAGAGATGCTTTATAGAATTAAAACACTATATGTACACACACACACACACACACACACACGTACACATGTCATTTTTCAGAAAGACCTCTGTTGTAGCATATTCTCCCCAAGCTGTGTTCTGCATCTTTCCTCTTTGACTAGAAGCTCTGTCTTAAGAGATTGCTCCTTCTTTGCATATCATCCCCCTTTGTGGATGGGCCGCCGTTGGTTTTATCTTTCCCCTATGGATGGGCATTTAGTAGTTTATAATCTTCTGTAATTACAATGGTGGCTGTCCTGAGAGGTCAGAAATGGGGAGATCTATAGCACCTACCTGGGCCCATCGAGTCGACTAAATGAGTTGATGCCAGTGAAGCATTTAGAGCTACGCCTGGCACGTGGTCAGGGTTCAGTCCATATCGGCTCTTATTGGCACGCATTCCATTTCACACATGTGCAAGCTCTTGGTAGGATAAATTCCTAGTGGTGGAATTACGAAGTCAGAGGGTATCCGGTTTTGACAGATATTGCTAAATTGCCCTTCATAAAGAGTGTATCCGTTTACGTTCCCAGTGCGGAGCGCAACATGACCTCTTGCTCCCCTCACTTACCAACACACTGTGCCTTCCAACCTTTTCTGAGCCTGGCCAACCTGACAGGTGACAAACGCGATCTCGGTGCAGTTTGAACTTGCATTTCCCTAATTACGAGCGCACTTGAGCATCTTTTCATATGGTTCAGAGCCATCTGTATAGCCTTCTCCATGGCAGCGATTACTTGAACATGATGTCAAGGTGAAAGTCTTGCTTTTTCCTTTCTGGCGATCTCTCCCAGCCTTCGTGTGTCTGCTTCTCTCCCATTCCTCTCCTGGTGCCATGATGTCTTCCCAAAGCTGGATTCGAATTCCTGGGAGGGTTGTCCCAGATCTAGGAGCACCGGCCACACACGGCGGTGGTCAGAGCCCACAGTCCTGGCCAAGCCAGGCTCGCTCTGCTGCCGGGAGCTGGGCCTGGACTGACAGAAACAACTTCCAGAGGCAACAGGGCCTCGTTCATTCCTGAGCACTTTGAATGAATGAATGAGCCAAGTGTTTCTTCCTCAGAGTCTTCCCTGACTCTGCTTCCCGGGACTAGCCGGTGCTCCCAGCGGTATGGCCTCAGAGATCCTTGTGTTTTTCCTTCATAGCAGTTATCCCAGTTGTCAGCTAGTTAATTGGGCAACTGGTTGTGTAAGGTCTGTCTCCTCTTTGCCAAAGCACTGGCAAACTTGAGAGTGGTGACCGTGTCTGTCTTGTTAGCAGGAGAATCATACTGACTCAGTAAATATCGGATGGATGGATGGATGGTTGGGATGGAGATGGATGGTAGCCAGGCAAACGGGTGGATAGATGAGTACCAAGGTGCATGGATAGAGGTATAGTGTGTGGGTGACTGAGTGAATGGAAAAATTGTTGGACACCTGGGTGGGTAAATAGGTGGGTAGATGGGAGAATGGATGGGTAGATGAATGAATGGGTAGATGGATGGATGGTTGGATAGATGAACAGGACAGATGAATGAGTGGATAGATGAAGAGCCCACCAGGCTAAAGGAATGTCCTATCTCTCCTTCAAAGGGACATCAAATTAAGCACAGTGTGTCACACACACATGACCCACCTCCCTCCCTGCCCCCCCATCAGAGCCTGGGAAACAGATTGTCAATGGAAGCTGGTCAGGCAGACCCTGGGCATTCCCAGAGTTTAGAGCTCTTCACTCAGAGAGATGCACTTGCCCAGCTAGTCATTCCCCAAGTATCTCTGGCATGCCTCCTGCCAGATGATGGGGCATCAAGGAAAGGGCACTTTGAACACAGAGTCAGAAACTTGGCTTATTTAAAAGATTTCTTTCCAAAGAGAAAAGTCAGAGTGCAATTAGCCCTTGGTCACTGTGAGTTTGTTTTGTTTTGTTTGAGTATTGATAATGTAAAGGAAAGAGGGCAAGAGAATGATGACTCCTATTGATTTCGTGCTGTTTCCATCCTTCCCCTCACCTTGTGGGGGAAACAGTGACCCTCTATTACAGAGACAGAGGTGGCCTCAGCAAGGAGAAAGGACAGACTTGCCTGAGGCCCCCCTGCTCCTCAGCAGCAAAACCAGATTCCAACCCAGAGCCCTGGATTCCAGAGGCCAGGACCTTTCCCCCAGATGCGGCCTCTTGCTCTGAGATGTCCTCAAGGCTGCATTAAAATATTAGAGCCCAGGGGCACCTGGGTGGCTCAGTTGGTTAAGCGACTGCCTTCGGCTCAGGTCATGATCCTGGAGTCCCGGGAT